ACTAAAACCAAGAAACATACAGTTGCTACATGATGGTGATTGACCAATGCTAGCCTCTCTAAAATCAGAGTCATTTCCAGCAACTCCTGAGAAGTAAATGAAGGAAAATGACATTTATATTACCTCTCTCATTAATTTTGAGACTCCTTTCTTCTAAAAGACAACACTGAGAGTTTCAAAATTTACTTCAGCTGCCTCTCAAATAGACATAAGGAATACACTTAAAAGCCTGAGGAGCCTCAGCTCCATGACAAAAGTAAGACAACGTTCTTCCTGGTAGTGATGTCTACAATGTCTACAAATGTCCTGCTCTTTCGGCACAGTTCAGCTAAGAGAGTTTATGTTGTAGTGTTTTGTAATCATCCTTTTTTTCCTGGTTTAGAGCTTTAATGTCTCCAGAAGGAGCTCAGATCAGTAGGAGTCAGCAATAGAAATTCCTGATCAATGAGAACTAGGTGAAGAAAATACATGACGCTTAATGACGCAAAATCTAATCCACTACCACTCTTAATTAGGTAAGACCATCCTATTTATTTTTACTATGGAAGTTCTATCAGTTGTAGTCGTACAAGGAATCTCCACAGTCAACCATATTACTCATATCACACTTTCAAATGTCTTGCCAAACCAAAATTCTCCATAACTCCTTCCCTTACCTCACCTTCCAAGTTACTTCAACAGGCTTGATAGGATTGTGTTGATAGATAGCCTGTCACAGGAGCAGATGCTGTGGGACTCCTGCATGGACAAAGTGCATCGCCTTCTCATGGGCCAACCAATGGAGAAGAAATTGCTTGCTCTGTGCCTTCCTTTTCCTTTCTTACATGTCTCATCATAACTTAAAATATATCTGTCTAGTTTAGAAGCTGTTGGCGCCATGACTTTCCCATCTGTAATGAAGACTGAAGACATCGTTTTCCTGGTGAGCACCCTCCATATAGCACTTACAGACTGACATTTCCCATTCAGTAGCTTCTTAGGAAGGGAAGGAGGAGTTTTAAGAACTGGGTAGTTTGAGGAATGAATTGATTGCAGGAATTTTGTAACTTAAACTCCAAGAACCCCAGGGAAAAAGCCTGATTAATTGAACTGATCAGTTTGTGACTGATTATTGAAATCCACTCCTGTGACAGACAATCTGCATGTCTTTCTATCTTTATCTTTGTAGGTCATGCATAATTCAAACATATCGTGCTTTCACTTTGCTCACTTGAAATTATATTAGAGTGCTCACTGGGGGTCTGAATCAAAACTCTATAAAAATGGACCTCCTGTATTCTTTCTTTCTATGCACTGCAAGGTCTTACTTGATTTTATTCTGCTCATATATAGATAAAGGCTTCAACATTAAGCATCCAAACATTTAATAGATCAGACTGCTGGCCTTTTTGACTGAACAAGGAAACAATTTCATTGAAATTAAAAAGAACTAGCAACAAGGTAAGGTAATGATTTAGAGTCTTCATATGAAACTAAATGGCTTACAAAACGTACACACATATCTTTGAATGAATCATTTGCAGTGAATCTTTGCACTCCCCTACATCTACCCCATCAAATACTAGAGTCTGCAATGATTTCTAACCACCATAAAATCCAACCTTCAAGAGAGAACATGCAAAGATACACATGATCTCCAAATACATAAGGAAGCGATATACAATACGAAACCATGCATTTGAATCTCTGTATATGTCCATTACTTCTTATGATGCCAAGAATAGATAGCATAGAGACTGAAGACCCAAAAGAAATCATGGCACAGATATTTTAAGAGCCCTTATTTTTAATACTTTCATAGAAATAATTCCATCTACTGTGTTCTACCATGCTGAAGCACTGGCTTCAGGTTTGGTACATTCAGGAGACAAAAATAATATAACTGCAAGGAAATACACTTATGTTAACAACTATCTTATTACTCTTTATTACACTAACTTGCAAATAACCATCTTTCTGCCAGAACCTTCTTCTTTCCACTTGTCTAGTTTAATTTCTCTTAATGTTTTAAAAAATGGATCTTACCTTTTGGTAATTAAATAAAATGAGATGCTCACATGTTTAACTTTACTATCAAGTGGAAAATAGGCAATAAGAATAACTGCTTTAGAATGGCTGAAAATAAAATGTGGAGAGAAGACAATAATACTATAACAGTGGTAGTGTTTTGAACACAAAATTCAAGATGTATCTCTTCTCAGACAGATTCAGTGCAACAGACTTGAAGTCAAATGCAGAGAAATAAGTGATGCCAAGGAAACAGCAGATGTGATCTGTCAACAGGAATAAATATTTTTATCTGAACAGAAACTGTACATGAAAGGTACATTCAAAAGTGTGAAAGGACTTAGAAGGCGTACCAGGGAAATAACTAGTTTCTAACAACTAGTACCTGACCCTACTTTACCAGCAAGTACATATTTCGTACTTAGAAATTCAAAGTATGACCTTCTTAAAATAGTGTCAGTCTACTGGCATTCCTTTTCCTTTTATTGAAGGAGTTGCATAAATAAGATTCTAACACATGAGGAGAGGAACCTGCGCAGAGGAAACTGATGTGCCATTGCAAGGACACCTTGATTCTCCTGTTTTCTATTACAGAGATACAAAGTTTAGTACTGAAAGGAATTAAAGGCTTTTCAACGCATTTTTCAATGATTCCTCCCAGCAGTGAAGCCACTTTTTATACAATATATTTAAGCAATAGGAAACGAATTAAAAAGGGTATTAATACCCTGCAATACACACAGAATTGAATCCAAGTCATAAGGACAGAACTAATTAATTGTAATAAAGCAAACTGAGGGAAAAAGCCATGCAAGTGCTGCAATCACTGTCATAGTGATTCATATCACAAGAGAAGAAGCCTTACAGGTAATAAAAGAAAATAGCATAGGTTCAAATATAAACAGCAACTCTTTCAGCATGTATGGAGAGGACTTTGATTTAGGAGGAGGAGAAAGTAGAAAGTGGCCTTTAGCTGAATTGATTGGTTATAAATATTCCAGGCATATGGATCAGGTGCAAAATTTAACTCCTGGAACATCATGTGAAATTTTAGCTTGGGTTCTGTTCTGACCCTTCCTTCTGTCTAAAATAGTATCTATACCTTTTACTGTTAAACCTGTTAATATAACTCGGAGAAGTCAATATACAACTGCCATGGAGAAGATCCGCTAGGAGATACATTTTGTAGAGATATCACAGTAATCAGAAATCTGCACTTTATACCTTTGGATACAATCATTGTCTGTGTGAAGTCCACTGATGTACAGTGACTAATGGCCAGTTTAAAGTTAGTCCTCTTTGGAGTGGACTGACCAGGGTTTCCTCTGGACTCCATCAACTTCAGAAACATTTATAGAAGTTAATAACTGTGTTTACAGCAAAGTGCTTCACTGCATCCTGCCACCTTGGTGCTGTAAGGCACAACACAAGTGTGTTCTGTCCCTTGAGTATGGTATGAGAATTAGGGGAAGCTTGGGGCAAAAGGCATGCTTCAATACTTGCAACATCCTGGTTAAGAGCATAGCTAGCAGGTCGAGGGGGGTGATTATTCCCCGTACTCAGTACTGGTGGGAGAGCACTGTGTCCAGCTCTGGGGTCCCCAGTACAAGAGAGACATGGAAATACTGGAGTGAGTCCAGCAAAGGGTCATAAAAAATGACTAAGGCACTGGAGTATTACTCACACAAGGAAAAGCTGGAAGAACTGGAACTGGAGAAAAGGAGCCTGGAGAAAAATCGGCTCAGGGAGGTCTTCTCAGTGTGTGTAAATAGCTGATGGGAGAGTGAATAGGAGCCAGAGTCTGCTCAGTGGTATCCACTGAATGGACAAAGATTAGAATGGGCATAAATTCAAATGGGCATAAATTCAAATACCAGACATTCCATTTAAATATAAAAAAAAATAAAATAAAAAAGAAAGCTAAGGTGGTCAAAGGTTGCCTAAAGAGGTTTTAGAATCTCAATCCCTGGAAACATTCAAAACCTGACTTGCCCCAGAGCCAGCTGGCCCTGGAGAACCCTGCTCCAACTGACCCTGCTTTGGGCAGGGAGTTGGTCTAGACAATCTGTTTTGTGATTTGTAGGTGGAGGGAGCTTCAACCTGCCCAATACTAAAGACAGTTACAACATCAAATGATTCTGCATTTCATCGTGGAAAGACAACCAGGAGCAAACTCAAATGTGCCCAAGGAAAACACCAGGGAAAGTCCATCACGCCTCAGACCAACACCTGGAACACGCCAATTCACCGTGTGTTAAACCTGAACTATTCTTGATTCCAGTTACCAAGAGCATATAAAAGAAAGGGGGGGATGGGGAGAGCATGAATTTCACTGAAGCCTCCAATTATGACTGTAACTAATTGTAACACATTATGGATTAAAACAAAAGTTCCCTTAGCTTCACTGTGCACTACGCATTGTGAAAAGGCATTGACCAGATTTGTCATTTGAAGGATGACAGAGCACTATCATGATCCTTACACATCTGGAGAAAAAGCAGCACAGCTAAAATATTTAATAGGATGCCAAATCAAATGAAAGATTATGTTTTGAACAGGAGATCCTTCTGCTGATAGGTGATACAGAAGAAAAATGGCAGTGCTCTTTCTCTTTAGAGGTCTGGGATAATAGTGTAATTGAGTCCAAGCTATACTGGGCACACAACTTTAAATATTCACTACACAGCACAATACAAGTGTTCTTGGCTCAGGCATGATTCAGGACAAAAGAGAAGTGCATTGTAGGTCAGCAGAAAGGTGTACGTACAGAAGCCTGCGAAAGAGGTAGTTCTGTTTTACTTATTCTGTAATGAGTACAAAACCCACACTTTCCCAGTCTTACAAATGTCATACTGTGACATCAACCTTGAGCCACCTTAAGTAGATTCAAAATTTAATTTCTTTTTTAAAAAAAATCTAAACCGAAACTTTGTTTTCATCAGAATTCTTGCCTTCTATAGTCAAAATTAAACATTACAAAAATGCAAGTATGTTCAGAGACAGTACTGGAACTTTAATCCAATGTCCAGTTCTGACTGTAAAAGAAAAGCGGAAGACAACTCTATTACGAGACACTAAAAGCATTAGCCAGAAAGTAGAGCATGTTGAAATTTTACTGTTTTAGCCAATTCCCAGTGTAAGACAGACTTTTGATCAAACAAAATATTTAGTGCATATTTAAATATAAAAACATTTAAGAAATACCAAGTATTTCAAATATTCTTTTTTTTCCCACTATAATTCAAAAGCCAGACAAGAGCATCTGAAGCTGGGTATGTGCACAGGGTGGTTTTTATGTAATATGTCAGAGTTCAATGTTTCAGTTGAATTTCTTTGGGAAAATAATATTTTTATAGAGATTTAAAGGTTGGTGTGTTGGTTTGGGGGAGGAGTGGTGAGGGCAGGGAATAGGAACAGATGTATCTGACAGCTTTTCCAGACAGTAAAGGACTTAGCATCATGCTCTAACTGTACAAAGAGATAGTTACTAACTAATATCTTGAAGACAGTAGTTACATAAGAATTTTTCAGCATTCATAAAGAAATATATATCTTTATGTTTTCTTCTTATACAAAAGAGAAGATACAAAACTTAATTACAAAAGTGACACAAAAAAAATCAGAGACTTGTACTGACAACTACTGATGAAGATCAGAGTTACGTCATCATCTTCAATACACTCCTGTACACTCCTGCATTTGGAAATGTGTGCAATTATGAGTGAATACTATTGTAACAAAAAAAAAAAATTTTCACAACAATATACTCTTGGATAGGTCAGGAAAATGTTCAGAATCTAAAAAAAAAAAATTTTAAATATTATAAATACAACTGCAGGTTTTAGCCCAATTATTCAGATAACTGCTAGGACACAAAATCTCCTCAAAAAAAGTAGCTACGTTCATCAAAATAATAAATTTAAGGACAAGATTTCTTATGCTCAATTTCTAATCTCTATATGACAACTGGACCATTTCCAATATGAAAACTCTTTGCTGAGGAAAAAAAAACCTAAAAAAACCCCAAAAGATTACTAACCTAGAAATACTAAAAACAGAAGACCACCATATGGTCTTTCAAGTCTTGTCCTTAGAAGACTAGGTTATCTCACTGTCTGAGTAATTTCATTAACCTCCAAAACACAGATGGAAAACTAACATACCTCATCATTCTTCTCAGTGAGTGTTCTGGTCTGATACAGCCTAGTGGCTGTTAGGTTTTTT